AAGAAACACGAAAATGTTTAGTAAAGCTTTAGCGCTTTCATTTTCAATCTTCAGAAGCTTTACAATAAGTAATGTAACATAGCAACATAATGTCATAATAATAATATACGAGGGGTTATCAAAAAGTTCGTGGACTAGCGTCATAAAATTAAAACCGCTTTAGATACATCAATGAAATTTTACACATTTAGTTAGCATCATCTTTTCTATCTATAGAGTAAACCATAAATCATAATTTTTATTTTTTAATAAATTGTTAGTGTTTTTGTAAGCAAAGGTATGTCCAGGCGGCGCAACCTCTAATAAGACGTTTTTTTCTACCTGAGTGTAACTGAGAAAAACTCTTTAGATATGTGTATCTGTCATCAAAAAATCTCGTTAATTCAGGCTTGTGGTATGAAACATCTGTTCAGTAAAATTTGCAATTTTTACCCCATTCTGTAATTTCTATGAAATTTTATCGTAAATTTTATATGGAGTGTCCAAACAATTATGGGATTGAAAATAATGTCAAAAGGGGGGAGGGGTTTCTTTTTCAAACACTCTATAGAGTTTCGCTCCTGGAAAAACTGGTATTGACCTAAGGAATGTTTAAACTGGCTACAGAAAAATAAAATGCATCCAGAGTACTTGTTTTTTAATGCCCAAAAAGATTCAGAGAGATGAAATATGCACAGTTAGTGTCGATTTGTAGTCAGGGTGTCAAAAGTCAGTCACGTCGAAAATTGACGTTGATCATGTGTGGTAGAAATTGAACTCCAACAAGCTAAGTATTCTGGCATAATCAAGTGAGGATCTTTCCCCATATAAAGATCCATTTACAATATTATATGCATTGAAAACAGCTGCTCATGACATTGTAAATTCATATAAATAAGACGGGTTTAAGTCCTTACTTAACTCCAGGTAATCTCATCAAGATAAGTGTATGAGGTAGAGAGAGCGGACATTAAGAAACAATGACGTTAAGCGGACGTCATGACACTAAACGGCGACAGCGCCGGGTGATCACATAAAGTCTTTTTAATTTTAGAATAATTTGGCAAATTATCAACGTATCAAGCTAAAATTTTCAACATTTCTTAAACTTTTGTTGTTTTGTGTTCCACATAAATTTTGTAAGCAAAGACTACATATTATTAATTTTATCGCGTCAGTCCACGAACTTTTTGATAACCCCTCGTATATATATATATTTCTGTGATTCTAAATAACATCAACTTTTCTTGGGTTTATTATGCAAAAACTTTTCACAATGAAGGGAAAAACCCTATGTCAATAACAAGATCTTAACACTTCAAAGAACATATTTCATTTTTTTTCCAAATTAAATACTACAAAAAAACCCCACAAGATCTTCATGGTTCGCCTGATACACAAAAACAGTTATCAGACCAATAAAAATGTTCCTTACTTACAAAGTGGATATAAAACAATTTTAAAAATTCAACAACAAAAAATTATTGAGCAAATACAACGCTTTGGATCCATGAGTGGATTACATCCACCAAAAACTGTTGTTTAACAATGTACAATGGGGGAAAATGTCTCTGTTAGGCAAAAGAAACTATGGCCATCTCAGATTTCTTATTCAAAATTCTTCTTCATGGCTATGGGTACAGAGGAAACATTCTGAACACTGCATAGAAAAATGACCCCTTCAAGGAACAAAGGACAATAGAGTGGACCATAGAACAGAAATTTACAGAATAGGCTTAGTCTTAACTGGAGCTCAAATTGTGAGATTGTGGTGTGTTCACACAATCCATTCAGGAAATACTAACAATTCTAAATCTCACATTTCTAGATGTCAACCTAATCTTATCTTAGGATAAAACTAGAAATATGTCCTTAGGACATGAATGCACCGCCGAGTGTATATTAGTAATGCAACATTTTAACACAAATTGAGAAAAGTGAGGTCAAGGTCAAAGGAAACGTCAAGGTGAAAAAATATTGATGCAGTTGAATAGCTTACATCAGTATGTATCAGCATATGAAGTTTGACACTAATTTAAGAAAAGTGATGTCAAGGTCAATGGAAATGTCAAGGTAAAAAATTGTTGATGCAGTTGAAAAGGTTACATCAGTATGTATTAGCATATGAAGTTTGATAAAAATATTATAAATGGTTTCTTTAAAACTGAGCTAAACACTAATTTAAGAAAAGTGAGATCAAGGTAAAAAAATATTGATGCAGTTGAATAGCTCTCATCAGTATGTATCAGCATATGAAGTTTGACACTAATTTAACAAAAGTGAGGTCAAAGTCAAAGGAAAGGTAAAGGTCAAAAAATGTTGATGCAGTTGAATAGCTCATCAGTATGTATCAGCATATGAAGTTTGACAACACTATCTTGAATGGTATCTTTAAAACTGAGCTAAACACTAATTTAAGAAAAGTGAGGTCAAGGTCAAAGAAAAGGTCAAGGTAAACAAGAGGCCCATGGGCCACATCGCTCACCTGAGTAACTTTGGCCATGCTGTTCATTACCAGACTTCCCCCCTTGTAATACCTATTGTGGCCCCGCCCTACCCTGAGGGCCATGATTTGAACAATTTAGAATCTACACTACCCCAGGATGCTTCCACATAAGTTTCAGTTTTTCTGGTCCAGTGGTTCTTGAGAAGATTTTTAAAGATTTTTCCTATATATTTCAATGTTTCCCTATTGTGGCCCCGCCCTACCCCCGGGGTCATGATTTGAACAATTTAGAATCTACACTATCCCAGGATGCTTCCACATAAGTTTCAGCTTTTCTGGCTCAGTGGTTCTTGAGAAGAAGATTTTTAAAGATTTTTCCTATATATTTCAATGTAAAACTTGGATTCCCTATTGTGGCCCCGCCCTACTCCCGGGGGTCATGATTTTAACAATTTAGAATCTACACTACCCCAGGATGCTTCCACATAAGTTTCAGCTTTTCTGGCTCAGTGGTTCTTGAGAAAAAGATTTTTAAAGATTCTTCCTATATATTTCAATGTAAAACTTGGATTCCCTATTGTGGCCATGCCCTACCCCCGGGGTCATGATTATAACAATTTAGAATCTACACTATCCCAGGATGCTTCCACATAAGTTTCAGCTTTTCTGGCTCAGTGGTTCTTGAGAAGAAGATTTTTAAAGATTTTTCCTATATATTTCAATGTAAAACTTGGATTCCCTATTGTGGCCCCGCCCTACCCCCGGGGGTCATGATTTTAAAAATCTAGAATCTACACTACCCCAGGATCCTTCCACATAAGTTTCAGCTTTTCTGGCTCAGTGGTTCTTGAGAAAAAGATTTTTAAAGATTCTTCCTATATATTTCAATGTAAAACTTGGATTCCCTATTGTGGCCCTGCCCTACCCCCGGGGTCATGATTTGAACAATTTAGAATCTACACTATCCCAGGATGCTTCCACATAAGTTTCAGCTTTTCTGGCTCAGTGGTTCTTGAGAAGAAGATTTTTAAAGATTTTTCCTATATATTTCAATGTAAAACTTGGATTCCCTATTGTGGCCCCGCCCTACCCCCGGGGGTCATGATTTTAACAATTTAGAATCTACACTATCCCAGGATGCTTCCACATAAGTTTCAGCTTTTCTGGCTCAGTGGTTCTTAAGAAGAAGATTTTTAAAGATTTTTCCTATATATTTCAATGTAAAACTTGGATTCCCTATTGTGGCCCCGCCCTACCCCCGGGGGTCATGATTTTAACAATTTAGAATCTACACTATCCCAGGATGCTTCCACATAAGTTTCAGCTTTTCTGGCCCAGTGGTTCTTGAGAAGAAGATTTTTTAATGACCCCACCCTATTTTTGTCTTTTCTTGATTATCTCCCCTTGTAAGGAGATTTTGCCCTTTATTTTAACAATTTAAACTCCCCTTCACCCAAGGGTACTTTGTATCAAGTTTGGTTAAAATTGGCCCAGTGGTTCTTGAGAAGAAGTTGAAAATGTGAAAAGTTTACAGACGGACGGACGGACGGACGACGGACAACGGGTGATCAGAAAAGCTCACTTGAGCTTTCAGCTCAGGTGAGCTAAAAATATTGATGCAGTTGAATAGCTATCATCAGTATGTATCAGCATATGAAGTTTATTAAAAATATCTTGAATTGTTTCATTAAATCTGAGCTAAACACTAATTTAAGAAAAGTGAGGTCAAGGTCAAAGGAAAGGTCAAGGTCATAAAATGTTGATGCAGTTGAATAGCTTACATCAGTATGTATCAACATATGAAGTTTGATTACACTATCTTGAATGGTATCTTTAAAACTGGGCTAAACACTAATTTAAGAAAAGTGAGGTCAAGGTCAAAGGAAAGGTCAAGGTCAAAAAATGTTGATGCAGTTGCATAGGTCTCATCAATCTATCAGCATGTGAATTTTGATAAAAATATCTTGGATAGTTTATTTGAAACTGAGCTTTGAACAGAGCTAAATGTAAAGTGTGACAGAAGGACAGATGGAAGGACGGAAGACGGACATGACAAACACTATATGCCCCGGCCATATTCATGGCAAGGCATAACAAACTGTAATTATGTATTTGTTCTCTTTTTTAACCAATCTATCAACTTTTTTTGTGATTTGTCTGTTTCTGATCTGAGCATTTTCATGTTTGTTGAGAATAAATAAAATCTGATAAAATATTGAGCATACATTTGTATTCCCAAGAAACTAAAGAAATACTGTGGAATCACTATTTTTTTTTGGGGGGGGGGGGGTAATTTACATTGTTTTCAAGGTATGAAGAGACCCATGAATTCATGTCCACCATGAAATGTAAAATGTCATATATAACTACTCAATACTTTCCCATCCATGAAATTAATCCTCCTGAACCAATATTTTTCTTCAAACCTCGAACATTTGACCACACAAAAATATGTGATTTCACAGTAATAGTGAGATACATGAATATACAATGGAAAAATTACTAACGTAAAAAAAAATTCAATTAAAAAAAACAAAACCAAAATGCATAAACATTTCACTGTTCCTGTAAAACTTCAATCAGCATTTATATACATGTAGTTTACAAAAATCTATTATGCCATTTTATTCTTCAGTATCTTTCATTTTATATCAAATATATATTTATTAATATACAAAACTCTTAACTCTTTGGAAACAATATAAAAGGTTTTCAACCCCATTATTTGTGTAGCTCTGATTTGATGTTGTGTACCTATATTCCGTTTACCGTTATTTCCTGTGAAATGAGGTATACTTCTGTTGTTTTCTGGATTAATTTATTCCCACGCTGATCATAATAGCCGCTGTAAAACCAACAATCACAAGGGTGTGCAATCCAATCGCCACTTTTTTGAATGGTTCCCCCTGAAAAATAAAGTCAACATCACTTAATCAGCAGAAAAAACTATGATAAGAAACAGTGGAAGCTATAAAACTATTAAAGGATTTGCCATGACTCAGTCAGAGTCATGACACTAAACCAAGGTCATCTGAAAGTTATGGTCATAGAAATTTACAATGTATGTCATTATTGTCTGTTGAGATCTGCATGTATTTTTAATACATGAACCACTTTGAAGACTAAACTTTGGGTTTGGGTTCTGTAAGCACAGTTATAGTTTATGTGGTCATTTTGTTCACTATCATTATCAGTATTATGTACATTTGTGTAACAGTTAACACATTAGTTAGATCATTTACTGGTATTCTTTAACGTTTCCAAAATCAAATGACTGTACATAACACAAAATTCAGAGAACTTTTGTAATGAATGTACTTGTACTTACCCTGGTGACAACTTCTGAAGAATTTGGGTCAGGGTCAGATACTTTCTTCATTTCATACACAGATTCTCTGCCTAAAGAAAACACATAACAGACTTTAAATTGCTCTAGCTACCACCTAAACTAGCTGCAGAAGTGAAAAATCTGGGATGGGTGTGCATTATTGCCAAATTTGACAAATAATAAAAAAGTTACCTCCTCAGATAATAAGCCTCTTATAAGCTAATTTAGTTTTTACTATTAAGAGTTCTTCACAGTAATATCTTTACTTTAATTACAAATTGAAAGACTATGAGAAGAAGAAAAAAATAACATGACACATAAATAAGAATACAATGAAAGATCATGAGATGTCATAACATACCACTATTAGCTCTGACAACAAAACATTCGTGGAACTCAAGCACTAGTTCTATAAATAGCTGGTACGCAGTATATGCTGCCAGAATGTATAATACATATTCTGGTGCTCCAGCTCCGGACAATGTCACTCCAATAAAAATTGTAATAACTGAAAATAGATAAGGCAATAAACATGTCAAACAAACTAAAAAATGAATTATTATACATAAGGAACCCAATGTATCATATATACATTGTTTATTAAGAGCTCTTTGTATCTCTTGGAGTGTATTCATTCCTGTGTTTGTTAGTGCTTTATTATAATGTGTGTTTGTTAGCATAAATTTGTCTGGCATGAGATATCTGTGTGCCATGTCTTAATGACAACATAATTTAAACAAAATTTTTAAGTTCATTGTAGTCTTGTACTAGTACTAAGCACAGGTACAACATTACTAGGGCTGTGTATTGAGCAAAAAAATTCGATACGATACGATACAATGTTCTATAATGCGATATCCGATATATTGGATTCTTTAACAAGTCTATCAAAAAAGTCTTATAAATCATTTAATGCATGAATTTTATAAAAGCTAATTGTTTTATAACCCATTTCGAAGGTCTTGTCTCACTGTCTCTACAAATTACACATCAAATTCAAACTTTTAATGACTGTAAAACAATATGTTAAAATAAAGTTGTCTATGTATTTTGTAATATTTATCTAAGATGTGCTATCTCCTTAATGATTAAATAGAGAATAATACATGGCAAAATCTGTATCACACCCTATATCAACCCGAGACTCCAATATCAGCCCGAGGGCCGAAGGCCAGAGGGCTGATATTGGTCGAGGGTTGATATTGGGTGTGATACAGATTTTGTCATGTATTGTTGTTTTTATTATATATTTGAAAATAGTGTCAAAAAAATCATATATAAACCTGTAAATTAATTAATTCTTAATAATTGAATATGTTCTTTTTTTTCGTTGAATTTCATTTCTCATTATTTTTTTCCAAAGGCAATGCATACAGTGATAAGAAATGAAATAATTATAAATTAAACAAATAATTATTTTGAATAGCATAAAATATCTGATGAAAATTTACAATTTAAATAAACTTCATAAACAATTAATAGAAAAAGATCCGAGATACTCCAAATGAAAAATACAGAGATGTTCCGGAAAAGTGTAATAAAGGGTGTGATAAAGGGTAAAATAAAGGGTGCTGATACAGGGTGTGTAATACAGGGCGCGTGCCTGTGTTCATATCAGGGATGCAAAAATCCTGTATCATTGAACAAATATATAATAAATGATTATATCATTATTGATCGATTTTAATTCAAAACAGTAAAAATATAACCTTTGGTAATTGAAATTCCCGACTTTTTCACAGAAATGTGAGAAAATTTGCCTGTCCGATACGTATTGGAAGTTATTTTTTAGATACGATACATTCTTAAATATTGATACGTATCGATATATCGATATATTGATACAGCCCTAAACATTACTTGAGCCCAATGTATCTTTAAACCAGCAAAGTAAAATGAATTCAGCCTCACATAAAAATATCCTGAGTGTTTAGATGGTATAATTTTATAGATTTCAATAATACTTCAAACTTCATCATAGTATCCATCTTCAAAATTCATGATAAATACACAATTTACTCTTCAAGGGCAACCAGTATAATCAAAACTTGTTAAATTATCTTGAACTCTTCGAGATATCCAAGGAAATCGAGATACTGAGGTCAAACTAGATAAAGAGAAGATAGTTTGGAATTCAAACTTGCTTCAACATATCCATGGTATTGGAGATTTGATGTTCAAGATACCAAAGTTCAACTGTATTTGAATGATTTTACCAATTTAACTCCTAGCCTAACTATGAACAATATACCTCTAATGAGAATTCTGGATACTGTTAAGATGAATTTGATAAAGATCTGTACCTGCAAGTACACGGGCACTTGTTCCCACAAACCAGTGAGCCCAGTTGAAGATAAATCTATATTTGTCATCTGGGTGGGGACGAAACAAAGCCATCAATGGCTAAAAAAAAAAAAAAAAGAAATGGTGTAAATGATAGATCACTGATAAAATTACATAATACAGGACACTATACACAAATTTATATTGCAATATCTGTAATTTCTAAGTACATGTACACTTACATTCATAATGGTCAGTGCAGTCACTATGACCCCAAGGTAGGGATGTGCCTTCTTGTAATCATCTGCATCCCCAAACTGTTAAATACAAACACAAAATTAGGGTAGCAATGAAGAAAAAATGATTCAATTATTTTTTAAAATCTTAATAAAATTTTAATCTAGATTTTCACTTTGTATATGCAGAATAACAACAGCATATTTGTTCTTATGTTATTTCAAACTTTGAAGTTTCACACATCATGGAAGATAAATATATGCATCAAGCTGTACCAGAAATGATCTCTATGTAAATTGGTTTATATACTTACTTCACTCCATCCTTCTACTTGTACAAATATTACAATGAAGGCAGCCACAACAAATAACAGAGTCATAATCATCAGCAGACGATGTATCTACAGACAATAAATGGGTCATATTAGATAAAATGAAACTATCTCACTACAAATTAACTCAAAAATAACTAATACATGTACATTCTTTCTTGTTTTCAGAACTATATGTGAATGATCACACAAGTACTATCACTAAACTAAATGATTAACATTAAATCAACTGAAAATATTTCCATCATAATCAGATTAAAAAATGGTTAAATAACAATTAAAATACTTACCTGAAACCAGACCTTCTCTCCCAATAGCTTTCTATCTGCCCATACTGGTTTATAGTATCGGGCTAAGACCACTCCTACACTGGCAAACAACACCCAGGCTGCAATCATCAGAAGACCTACAAATGTCCAAATAAAAGGGGCAAAATCAACCCAAAATATTTAAAACTGTTAATCTTCATCTCATTTTTACAGTCACATAAAGCTTCTTCAGAGTCTTTCTTAAGAAAGTCTGAAATAATGTCCGTCTTCTAATTTTCTTCACATTCTCATGCTATTCTTCAATATCAGTGGTTTCGTTTTCAACCAGATTTTACCATAAATGATCTGGTGTAAAGATCATCTGTTGTCGTTCTTTTGGATAATATACATTTGCTGCACTGATATAATATCTGATTCTACTGAATTTGTAATTGCATGTATACTGTAAATCACATTATTTGCAAGAATTTCGTGTAATTATGTGAGAGGATCTGCTCGCAAAAAATTTCATTCTCACATGTATTTTTATTAGCATAGAATATATACATCAATAACCAGCATTCGTGGAAATTTTGTCCCAAAGTAAAAGAACAATACTCAGATAAAAGAATATTTTTGCTTATCCTGTACAAAATCATTCTTCAATCATTCTTGCAATAATGCCAAAAGAAAACAGAAAAATCTTTTGCTGGGAAGTATCATACATGAAATGGTTATCAGGTTTTGTTTATATTAGTGCAGTGTCATTTATTATGACAGCATGGAAAATAGTTTCTCACATTTTGTTCTTATGCTTTGTATCATAACTGGTACCCATAACTGGTACCCCAAAACTGCAGTACGTACCATGAACCTTAATGAGGACTTGAACAGCTGATCCCCCAATAACTTGCACAGACTGTAAGTCCACAACATTAGGAGATATCTTTGGAGTGGTTGAATGTTTACTTTTTACTGGAATTACAATAACATATACATACAGAAATGTTATACTTACAAGTACTGGTAGTTAAAATTCACTACACTAACTCAATCTTAATCAGTACTGTCACAGTACATGTTGCATTAAAAATTGAAACATGTTTTATATTGTACTTTTGTTAATTGCTCATGTTTAATTACAGTATGTAGTAACTGCTGGAAAAGTAGAAATGTTCTACTTTACCCAGTAGATTTAATATAATGAAGTAGGCACTGTACCATTTCCAGTAAGACGTCCATTGGCAAAGAGAAGATAGGAATCAGCATCAAGGTCAAGTGACGCTGACTTCTGTAAATTAAACCCACAGGTGAGGACACTGCCATCAACTGACCCCTGGGTCGGCTGCAAATCTGTCCCTGACTGTAGTTACAAAATAGTAAACATGTACTTTATTGACAATTAATACTTAAGAGTTGGTTCCAGTATTAGTACTATCCAGCACACTAAATTATAGAAAGCTGAGGAGATGGTGTAAGAAGACTCACCAGTGCTGATGGTGGACTTTTTCCTGTGTTCCGAGATCTGTACATTTTCACGGTACCCGACAATTCCTTGTGACACTCAACCACTTCATCACTACCCTAAATAACAAAATCTACGTAAAAAAATCATATCATGCAATAATAGATGGTTACAAAATCTATTGCTAAGACTAAGAATACTATTAACTTTTGACCAATAGACTTCAAATGTATAATCAAATCTTAGACTCCATTAAAACTAATTCAACAAATTTGTTACTTCAGATTGAATTTGTTATAAGGAATTGAAAAATTTGTTCTTAGTAAGAATTAAACTTGTTTAAATCTGACAATTTGTGATATTGCATTCAAAACATATTTTTTGATGGGTCCTGAATGCGCTTGCATACAAAATATAACATCATATGAAAATGTTGAAATACAGACTGAAAAATCGACACAGTGGTCATGCTGTTAAGAATGCCCAAATTTTGACTATATTTCCCATAACCTGTTTCTAGCAGATAGAATTAACATACCATTTTCATATCCTGGGACAGTCCCAGGGCAATCCACCTGGAGGTCTCACTTTCAAGGTCATACTTCATAGTGAAGGTCACATAGGTTCTCATGTCCTGCCAGGTTACCTCATAGGTACATCCACTGGCACAGTCGCTATAGCAACCTCGGGTCTTTCCACACTCTGGATCCTGGGAAAACTGGCCAGCCTGCACAAAAATTAGTGAAAATAACATGAAATAAAAATATCTTCAAAAATTTTTTTCTGAGGTTTATGTTTAAGCTTGTTCAACACATTGTCAGGACAACTAATACTCATATCTTTTACATTTACAGTTATATATTAGCCATATGTTCTTTGCTGATAAATGATAACATTCATCCAAAATACAGTGTCCTCTGATTAATCGTCCAAACATAATAAACTAACAAATATTAATACTCAGTCATTAGAAATATGAGTACACATATACTTGAGTACTCTACAAGTCAAGAAGTAAATCTGGAAACAATTAGGTGTAGCAATGCTAGGAGTAAGTGACCATTGTTAAAATACCTTCTGTGCCTTGTGTATTAGACAGATTTACTTCTAATTTATGAGAATTCCTCTAACAAAAATCATCTGAATTGGGACTGGGACGATATATCAATTCTTTTAGGATGAATTATCGATATGTGTATATAGAAATATTGACACTTATAATGATTCAGTTTAAAATATGAAATAAATATTTTAAAGTACTGGTAAATATAAATATGAAATATATTAACACCACTATTGTTAAATAATTTTGTTTTACAACAGATAGAGCTACTATATATCATATGGCACAAAAATCATCATATCAATACAGAAAAGAGTGTGTTGTTCCATCTCTATTCTGAATGCTTGATTGTACAGTAATGAGACAAGTCAGAAAAATAAACTTGAATAGTTAACCATACGGCACATGTATTTCATTAGAAAAATATTTATATTGTTGACAATTTAAAGCCAATCTAATAGTTTGATAAATAGAGTTTCTGTGTAGATGTTGATGTTTTCCATTATACTTACAGCATGTGACTGGACAACCTGTCCAAACAGCAAGCAGCACAGAAAGGTAGACGTCCACATTGTTAACATCATTTCAAGTTGTCTAGAATTCCTCATATCTACAAGAAGCATGTTTACATGAACAAAACCAACGAATTCTCTATGTTTTCACTCTCTGATTCCCTGTTCATCTGAATCTATAATTAATTTCTGCATCAAGTCAAAAATGCAAAGTATATACTGTAGATCAAGGACAACTGTAGATCGCTAAATTTTTTTGACACCTTATTTTTTTATGAGATTGTTGTTTGGTTTTATAAGTGAAACAAAATTTTCACCAATTTTGGTTACTGCTCTATATAATCTTTAATAGCAGAATTAAACGTGAGAATAAAATTTTCATGAGCAGACTCTACCAAAGAGTCCATGAGGAATATAGCTTATTCTTGGTGTTACCATGGAAACAAATTACCAAGGTAGTAAAAATTCACATTATTACATGGTGGATTTTCATTGAGTCCTTTTTTCAAATCTTTCTAACATTTACATCTATGATACATAAAAATGATAAAATGTACTTTCAACTTGTTGAAGGTTAAATAATTGTTGCTATGGACATTTTCCTTTTATGAAAATAAAAAAAAAGATCTATGTTTTGTAACAGAATTAATTGGAGATATAATCAGATAATTAATGCAATTTTTTCAAGTTAAATTATTTATTGTGAGCATTTCCAAAGAAATTGATCTGTTGCTGTTTTGTTATATGAATGCAATGACCGATCAAGACCTTTGATTGTGTAAATTCCAGTGGGCAATATTCAGATAGTATGCTCCCTGCTCTACTCAAAGCCATAAAAAATTAGAATTTATCTGAAGTTTTTCTTACTTTTAAAATTCAGATATAAACATGGTTTTGACCTATATAACATGGAATCCCCATGATAGTTTTTAAGCAATTATTATAACACTTGTCATTCCTATACATTCTTTGTCACTGCACAAGCCACACTGAGGATACAAAACTGCTAAAAATATCCTCTTTTTTTCAACTCTAAGACCCATATCCTGGGAATCAAATCTATGGCAACCAAATTAGTATTGGTTTAAGTTTGTAGGTTAAAGGCCTACTTATGCATGAAGTTTCAAAAAAAAATCTGTGATTATGTGTGCGAAGAGTTTTTTAAGTGCTTAAAGAAAATAGTTCTAAAACGTTACTTTACACATTTGCTAGAAGGATATTAACTGACACATATTATATACCGGTAAGCAGCATTGAAACTGATATACTACAGTCTTGGTAAAAACTTTTATGTGAATGTTATTAAAACTTACAGTTCAACAGGTCAACATCCCAGCCCTTCCACTCGTACAGGCACTTTAAAGTCGTTGAAGCAGGTCAGGTGTATATATTTATAGCAATCAATCACTTCATTGAATCACCTGAAATTGTATAAGTTAGTCAAAATCTACCTCTAGTCATCTGCTCTGCATATATGTTCAGCTTTTTACAAATTACAAGGAAAAAGACATGTGGGTGTTTGCATAATAACTTACCTGTATAATAAGGTTAACTCAATGAAACATGAACAGCTATTATCAACATATCACGATGTTCTCAATTTTGTTCTAAAATTTGAACTTTTAATTGAGTATGCTTTGAGTGACGCATGATTGACCTAAACTATTTAACATTGTATTTGTGAATAAATAGAAGATGTAAAAGAATTCTGATAATACTCTCATCTCAAGTTAAGGATCTTTTGTACATGCATTAATGATTTTTTTTTAAACATTAAAAAAAATATTGTATAGATATACTGGTGTAATGTTAAATATTGAATTTGTGCAGTTACCTTTTCAACATTTGGTGTCAGTCATATTTTAAAACAGCCTATGTTCAAAGCAAGTACATGAACGTATGCAGTTATCATTGTTTTAAACATTTTTTTTAAAATAATAAATGGGGACAATACATGCAAATGAAAATGTGCAATATAGTTTATCTTTGCCTTGTAAAATGTAGGAGAGTGCCTGAAATGATTGCATATTGAGTAATAGTTACAATGTAGATTTCAAATTAGATGTAATTATTTTCGAAGGGCAATTTATTCCAGTTAGAACTGTTTGTAAGCAATGCATAGAGGGTCCTTAATTAACTTCCTTTAAATGTATTGTTAGATGAAAACTTTTAATGCATGCATCAATGCAAATGGCCTATTGGCTAAAAGTTCTCGCAATATAGTTCATTTGCAATGATGCATCGCAGCATGCATTTGCAACGCTGTTGACAGTGTATCAATTTATACAATATAACGTTAGTCACCATGTCACCAGTAACAAAAGGGCGAGAACTTTTAAAATGTGGTCATTGAAAACCTAAGTGACTTTTCTTCTGAAGCTGATTTGATGTCAAACAAGTTAAATCTACTTACCTCTGTTACTGTAGGTATATTAGATCTAGGGGTCCTAACTGATGAAAAACTTCGAATGGTCAGTTTCGGACTTGGTTGTTTACACTTCCCAAACTTCACTTCCGTTCGGCTATTTTTACATAAAATGCCCATGGGAAACGACACTCACCTGAAGAAACTAACCACCCTGGTCTTTTTTTTTCGCCTTCATTTTAAACTAGCTCCATTAATCTTCATGCAGTTAACTACGGTGGAAGCTACCGTTTGATTTGACTCATCATCACACACCATACCAGCTAATTTCTCACCTGATAAATCAAGATCGGAAGAATTTTATCATAGTTCATTAAGTGAGGGATACAAGACCAAAATGGTCTAATATGACGACTGGGACGAGGTGCGAATGATTTGATAACCTGTACTAGGAGTTTGGGGAATTTGAAAGCGAGAAAAAAAAGTTGATGAAAACAGAGACCTATATATAGGTCCCTGATGAAATTGTGATTTTTTTTTCTTTAAGGGATATTATCATTTTGTTACTGGACAACAGCAAAAAAGTCTTTTTAGGACAGACAAACAGATCGATAATGTTCAGTCACGTGACAGATCTATTTTAGATCTTCTGAACTACAATTAGTAGCTAGACCAATAAATCTATGTGCATCTATGATGATTGTGAAAACATCAAAAGCAAACATGTAGCACATGCATCGATGCTTATATATATATATATATATATATATATATATATATATATATATATATATATATATATATATATATATATATATATATGATGGAATAATGGAGAAATTTTGTGCAATACTTATTACAACTATAATGCTTTAATTTATAACTCTAGATAGTATTCGTTGACAGCACCATATCTACAAACACACGGAAATTGAAGTTGAATCCCAACCCGCCCACCCCATAAATTAATTTTGAAAAAAAAAACAAATAACTAAGCAAGAAGGATTCATTATATTTTGTTTTGACAATGATTATGTAGAAAATGATGAGAAAGGAAAGTAGCATCATAAGCCGAAGGATTTTGCTGTCTTCACCACTCGCACTTCTTTCTCTGTATCAAGACTTAAGAACATCGAACACTCCTTAAAATCAGATTAAAACCAGAATTAATCGCATTCTCATAAAATTCTACCGAAGTTTTTCGTCTTGCACTTCTCAGCGACAAAATGCGATTTTGTCAAAGTCTTTTCAAAGCCTTTCCGCTGCTGCAGCTGGGTACCTTAAGTAGTGTTTCTCACTTTGAATGGGAAAGAAATCAATGCATGAATCAATGTGCTGCCTAAACACGATCTGCCGATGATTGAAAGCTCATGTCTAAACTGAAATCCCATATTTCATTGATGTCATAATAGAAATCACAAATTAATTTGAAATGGAATTGACTTCTTGATTATTTAACTAACCTCTAGCTACATGTATAAATATCACGTTAGCAGAAGACAGAATGTATTAAATATGACCCAAATGTGAGCCACCAAAACAACATGAAAACAATATTCAACATTATTAAAGTTGTGCATAATATATATTCAAGAAAATTGAAATGACTCTAGACTATTTTCCATTCCAAACCCTCCCATTTCTTTGCATCCTTTGTAACTCGCATACCCCTATTTCTTTGCACTAAGAAACTTTTGCATCATATTTCTTTTTATGCTTGTAGATCGAGGGGACAAAGACGTTTATAATAACTTGTATTCATTTGAAATGTGTTTAACTCGCATTAAATAATATGAGCACTGCAACCTACCAAAATAACTTCCTTAGTCTAGAGTAGGCGTTATATTGATGACCAACGGTGTACCAAAACATGCATCATCAACAATATCACGTGACAGCTAAGTAGATATAAAAAGCCCCTAATTTCAGAATGCCGTGTGCTAGCCGGTACCATCAAGTGCTCTCTAAGATTTATATATTGTTTCGATCAAAAAACTACCAAATTTTTTAAGGAAAACTACAAACGAATAAAGGTAAGGTTTATTAATCTAAAACAAGTTATACCGTATAATGGTCCCTTTATATAGCTCTAATGCTGCTTTGATTGATTGCTTTTATCTATTGTTTTAATTTTAATTTTTATTAATTTAATTTTTTTTGGGGGGAGGGGGATTTTATATATATATATATATATATATATATATATATATATATATATATATATATATATATATATATATATATATATATATATATATTGGTGAAGATGTTATCTTGAAATCTTGAGATAAAAGTTTTATTTTTGCACGAATTGCTGAAAAGTACTATAAGGTCGGATAGAAAAAGAAACTAGTTTGTATTCAAAGTTAAAACAATGTACGTAAGCAAAGTTTACGTGATATAAGACATATTTATTTGATTTTTTGTCTAAGATAAAAATGGCAACAAAAGGCACACTTTTCGGCGGTCTGTTCACAAAAACGTTACAAGCTCAAAAGCGAGTGGTTTCTACATCCGCCACAAACCGGCAGGCGATCGCTTTAACAGAAATAGCACCAATCACAGTAAGGAAGAAAATCACGTGACAGAACAACACTTTCTAATATTTTGGTTCAATAATTTAATCAAGTCTCTAAGAGAAATTGTTTAAAAGCGCATTCTTGATGATTTACTAAAAACATTCACAACAGTACTCATTAATATAAACACAATTAATAATTATTTTGTCTCTCTCCATACATCATGACATACGTGTTGTATATTTTCATTGCAAAGGGTCCATTCCAAAAAGTGTTAGACAACATAAACCGAATAAAAAACCCAAAATCATCTCACCAGGAACCAAATATACAAACTTCAGCGGATACAGCCAAACCGTTCGAGAAAATCCCCGGACCAAAAGGACTTCCAATCATAGGTACATTGTTAGATTACACAAAGAAAGATGGATACCGCTTCGACAAACTGTTTGAGGTGAATCTTACGTAAAAAAAATCTTATTATCTATTACTCTATATTTTCTTTTTTTTATTTGTCTAGTAGTTGAGCATAGTTTATGTAACATAAAACATCTTCGAAGCTCTCAGTACATCATTAACCTTATAAAAATACAAATACTATAATACATATAACATGTATAATACTAGCAATGTTTGGGTTACAACTTACAAGTATATATAAATATAAACTTATCAACAGGCATTTACAGAAAGATCTCTTCAATATGGACCTGTATTTAAAGAACAAATAGCTAATATGACAACAGTTGTTATCACTGACCCTTTTGAGTACAACAAGGTCATACGAGCAGAGGGAAAGTATCCAAAACGACGTGTTCTTGATCCCTGGTTCGTGTATCGTGAGAAGAACAAGATGGGACAAGGCCTTGTAAACGCGTAAGGTTGAAAAGGAATATTTTATGTTGTATGACTATGTATAACACTTTAAGAAGGTAACATGAATCCAAATTGATTCCATCAAAACAAAGGGTGAAAGAAACACCTATTTGAATTTATAGACAAATATTGTAATGCAACTTCATGTAAAACTTAAAACCTAGACACAGGAGCATTTTTAACCTATCAAACCTTTATGTTTGCATGGTAACAGCCAAGGTTCTGAGTGGCACAAGTACCGGAGTGCCACCTCCAAGAAAATGCTGAAGATGAAGGAGGTGTTGGACTATTGTACAAGCATGGACAAAGTAGCAGACGACTTCATCACACACCTCTCCAATCTCAGAAATCAACACAATGAAGTTGTTGGCATTGAAAAAGAATGTTTTAAATGGGCCATGGAATGTACGTATTCTTATTTTCCCAAATTTTTCTGTTTTCTCATGAAAAAAAATATCTTGATTTCCTGCCTAAGCTCTATTGGGACTAATACTACTTTTCTGTTACATCTTTAGCTATGGGTACCTTTCTCTTCGAATCCAGATTAGGCTGTTTTGGACCAAATCCTCCGACCCAGGCTCTAGAATTCATAGAACATCTGCAAGGCCTATTCCATTATATGCAAATACTCTTGTATAGTTTTCCAATTTACAAGATGATTCCCACAAAACCATGGAAAAAATATGAAAATCACTGCGACAACGTATTTCGAATTGGTAGATCGTATATAGACAGGGTAATAATTTAAATACAAGAGAATGAAACAGGTAAAATCAGTGATAAATAGTTCAAGCATTTTATATGATACCAAAGTAATTTGTTTTTGTTCAGTTGAAAAAAAAATCATTTTAGAAAGCGGCTGAAATCCAAAAGAACCCCACCAAGGATGGTGAAAAGTCGTCTTTTATTGAGTATATGATAAATCAGGAATCGCTGTCAGAGAGAGAAGCCTTGTCTACTTGTGTTGATGTCCTTGTTGGTGCCACGGAAACGGTAGGCATTCCGGAATAGTGACAGATTTTTGGACAAATATGTTTCAAAATAAGCACTTCTGCTCATGATATAAAACATTTCTGAACACAGACATATTGTCTCCTCTTCAAAATCACATAAATCCTGAATGAGAAAGATAGTGAGATAGTGACTTAGCTGAAGGATTTATCAACAGAACTTCTGTCTCAAATACCTCTTATGAATATTTTCCTCTTAACAATATTGAATCCGATCAAAGTTCATTGAGGACAGATGATATTCTGTAAATTGTTCTTATAAATATATATCAATGTGTATATTTCTTGTCTTCTGCAGACCTCCAGTGGTACTCTTTGGGTCCTATACTGTCTAGCCAAAAACCCAAAAGTCCAAGAGAAATTATACGAAGAAACAAAAAGAGTTTTACCCAACAACGAAGCAATTACTCCTGAGAAACTTTCTCAACTGCATTACGTCAAGGCAGTCATTAAGGAAACGTTTAGGTAGTATCAGATATTAGATTAGGTAAAGCAAAATTTTTTTTAGCATACTTGATTTACTTGATGTTACAATCACACACTAGAGAATTGGAGTGGACAATCCAAAATGGATTGTTCTAAAACCCACCGAATAGCTTAGCATACACCTAAATTGTTTTTGCTTCATTTTCATGTTTTTTGATGGACTAGTGTTTCAGTCCTTCAAACATTTCATGCGAACGGTATTTTAAAATTACGTTTTGAAATTCAGACCTGATACCCAATCATTTGAATACAGCTCTACTTGCAACTAATTTTTATCTCTTACAGATTTAATCCTTTCTCATTATAACTCTAAAGGTTACATACTCTCCCCTTAACTCTCTAGAGGCTTATCCTCTCACCTTATCTGTCTTAATTCTATATCCTATCATCTTAACCCTGCACAGATTATATCCTCTCACCTTATCTCCTTACAGGTAATATCCTTAAAGGTAATATCCTTTCCCCTTAACTCTCTACTGGTTTTATCCTTTCATCTTCACTGTCTAAATTTTATATCCTCTCACGTTAATCTCTGTAAGGTTATCTACTCTCACTTTATCTCCCTACAGGTTATATCCTCTCCCCTTATTTCTCTACAGGTTTTCCTCTCCCCTTATCTCCCTACAAATTTTTCTTCTCTTCTCGTCTTTCTATAGGTTTAATCCTTTCGTATTAACTTTCTAGAGGTTATGTCCACTCACTTCATTTCTGTCAGGTTATATCATCTCACCTTATCCCTCTACAGGTTATGTCCTCCCACTTTTTCTCTCGACAGGTTATATCCTGTCACCTTATCTCTGTACAGGTTATATCCCCTCACCTTATCTCTCTACAGGTTATATCCTGTCACCTTATCTCTCTACAGGTTATATCCCCTCACCTTATCTCTCTACAGGTTATATTCTCTCACCTTATCTCTCTACAGGTTATATTCTCTCACGTTATCTCTCTACAGGTTATATCCTGTCACCTTATCTCTCTACAGGTTATATTCTCTCACGTTATCTCTCTACAGGTTATATTCTCTCACCTTTTCTCTCTACAGGTTATATCCCCTCACCTTATCTCTCTACAGGTTATATTCTCTCACGTTATCTCTCTACAGGTTATATCCTCTCACGTTATCTCTCTACAGGTTATATCCCCTCCCTCACCTTATCTCTCTACAGGTTATATTCTCTCACGTTATCTCTCTACAGGTTATATTCTCTCACCTTTTCTCTCTACAGGTTATATTCTCTCACCTTATCTCTGTACAGGTTATATTCTCTCACCTTTTTCTCTCTACAGGTTATATCCTCTCACCTTCACCACAAGCAGGTACTTGGAAGAGGACCTAGAGATTGGAGGTTACTCCCTCCCAGCTGGGGTAGGGAATATTAGCATCATTCTAAAATCTTCCTAAAGCGTGTTGGTTTTGTGTTACCTAAGCGATTATTTATTATTTTGTCTATTAGACCTCGTATTGATTTACCTACAAGACCCTTTAAACCATTAGGCCCAAATATCGACTTACCTATTAGACCATTTATATCGATTTGCCTATTATACTTTCATATTTATTACCCGATTAGACCTCAATTACAAGTTTGTTTAATATCTTTATAACCGAATTTTTTATAGCAGCCCGGAGGACCGATGCATGTGTCTTTATTCGATTTTCATCCGACTATAAGTTTTCAAAATATTCTCGACTATCGTCTCCATCATCATATAGACGCATGCCTTTTTCACACATATCGAAGCGGTTTGATGATCAAGACTCATTTCCTTTGTTTACTTTATTTATTTCCCGGGCGACAATTGATGGTTACATCAATGTTTTCTTGTTTAATTTTCCACTAGACCCATGTACAGGCCAACCTGTATGGCATGTTTCGAGACAGCAAATTCTATCCAGACCCAGAAACCTTCAAACCCGAACGGTGGTTGAAGGAAAGCCACATGGATAAGGAATTGAAAGCACTCTCGAATCTCGTCTGGGGACACGGTGCCCGAATGTGCATAGGTTTGTAGATAATATTCTTTTTCAATGTAAAAAGGAATGAAAAAAATGAAGGCTGATGTTTTCACTCATTTTATCACAGGGCGGAGATTTGCAGAACAAGAGATGCACATTGTTTTGACAAAGGTAAATATGGGTTTTAATAAAATAATGTCATGTAAGCTTTCATCTGGGAATTAGGATGGCTATTAATTAGGAAAAATAACAGATGAAGTGTAATTATCTTTATTAGAGTTTATTCTCTTTGGACTCAACATTTTTTAGATACCGATATTATTTTAAAAATGTTACAGTAGTTTTGCCAAAACTAAGGAAGATGATTTCTAGCTTCTTATATGTTGCAGATTGTACAGAACTTTAAGATTGAGTACAATCATGGAACAGTAGAGCCCGTGTTGAATATGGTGATGAACTCTGATCGTCCTCTTCTATTTTCGTTTATTCCAAGGAACTGAAAAAGTCTCTACCAATGTACGTCACCAGTGAAAATATTGACAAGAGCAATAATTCTATTGTTTTTTAAACATATTTCAAACAAAGTGTATCATCACCAGTGATATTTCATAATAATAATAATGCAACAACGTATACGTTTGTTAAAGCTCGAGGTATAATTTCATTGTTAACTGAAACTTTGCAAAGACTTTATGCTTGTACATGAGACAGGTTTTTTCACTAATCGAGGGGAAAAAGAAAGCTTCTGTAGCAAATAATGTTGATCTGTCATGTGTAATTCACGAGCTATATTTCAATAATACATTAAATGTTCTATATGCTTTTTGACAGCAGACAATGAAATCTTAATGACATACTTTTTATGACTCTATATTCATGTCTTGTACAAGTTTTTTTTTTTAAATCAGATTTCAAGATTGTTTGTATCTTCTTGATATATATATATATATATATATATATATATATATATATATATATATATATATATATATATATATATATATATATATATATATATATAAACATCAGTTTAATAAGGGAAAAAATCTTTGATAAACACTCCGAAGAAAATTTCTCCAATGGCAAATCTTTAATTTGAAAAAAAATTACGTCAATTCTATGTAATATGACTCCCAATATGACATCACATTGAATATCTGGGTAGTCACTCTCAATAATATGGCGGCATATCTCTGCCCCCTACATGCAAGATAAATTATGTTAACATGCAAGAAAACTATGTCAACATGCAAAATAATTATGTCGACATGCAAGTTACCAATCTCTTTTCAGAATCTAATTTAAATGTTGATAAAATTTACTTACTAACGCCAGAATACGACATCATACAAGCAAGTTGCAACAGAATTGTGTTGACATGCGACTTATTTATATTAATATGCAAGATATTTATGTCAACATGCGACTTATTTGTGTTAACATGCAACATAATTATGTAGACATGCGACTTATTTACGTCAACATGCATGATATTTTCGTTAACATGCAGCTTATTTATGTTAAAATGCGACTTATTTATGTCAACATGCAACTTATTTATGTCAACATGCGAGTTATATTTTAAGTTGCATGTTAACATACTTATCTCGCATGTTGACATGATTAACTCGCATGTTAACATAATTATCTTGCATGTTGACATAAATAAGTTGCATGTCTACATAATTATCTTGCATGTTGACATAAATAAGTTGCATGTCTACATAATTAGGTTGCATGTTAACATAATTTGTCTTGCATGTAGGGGGCAGAAATATGCCACCATACAATCTCAAATACAATAGTAGAAACCCCACATGGAATATCTGGGTAATAGTCAGCAGTCCAATATAAACTTAACCATGAATGTAGAGAGTGAACCTCCATACAAACACCACACTGAGCATTTTGGTTCTGGTCATCATCACAAATCTCATCTCAACATTTTGGCAGTGCCTCTCGATAAAAACCTCATTTTGAGCGTTTGGATTGTGAACAGTAATTAATATTCACAATGAACATTTGAGTTGTGGACCACAGTAAAAACCTCACACTGATAATTTGCGTAGTGGAATTCAAACTTCACATTGAAGGTTTGGATAGTGGACCTCAATATAAAACTAACGCACATCTTTTAGGTAGTAGTCCTCAATACAGATCTAATTTTGAGCATTAGGGTAGTTGCCTTCAATATTAACATCATTTTGAACGTTTGAATTGTGCATCTCAATATTAACCTCACTCTGTAAATTAATTTTGAGTTGTGGACCACTATATACACCTCAAACTCAATACAGAGTTGATACTATGGATTGTTATATATCAATACATGTATTAACATTTCGTTAAAAGTCCCCAAGATAAACTTCATACGGATCATTTGGGTAATGGTCCTCAATACAAACTTCATATTGATTATTTGGTTTGTGGACCTCCATATCAACATAACATCGAACATTTGGGCAGTGGACCTCAATATAAATCCTAAAGTGAACATTTGAGTAGTGGATCCAATACAAAACAAACAATTCAAAATTTGTTATGAATTTCCTTAATGTGAGGTTTGTATTGAAGTCCACTACCTAAACGTTCAATGTGAGGTCTGTATTGAGGCTCACTACCCAAACGTATAATGCGAGATTTGTATTGGAGTCCACTACCCAAACGTTCAATGTGAGGTTTGTATTGAAGTCCACTACATAAACGTATAATGTGAGGTTTGTATTGAAGTCCACTACCCAAACGTTCAATGTGAGATTTGTATTGAAGTCCACTACATAAACGTATAATGGGAGGTTTGTATTGAAGTCCACTACCCAAACGTATGATGTGATGTTTGTATTGAAGTCCACTACCCAAACGTTCAATGTGAGATTTGTATTGAAGTCCACTACCTAAACGTATAATGTAAGATTTGCATTGAGGCTCATACATAAACGTATAATGTGAGGTGTGTATTGAAGTCCACTACCCAAACGTATAATGTGAGGTTTGTATATAAGTCCACTACCCAAACGTATAATGTGAGGTTTGCATTGAGGCTCATACATAAACGTATAATGGGAGGTTTGTATTGAAGTCCACTACCCAAACGTATAATGTGAGGTTTGTTTTGAGGTCCACTACCCAAACGTATAATGTGAGGTTTGTATTGAAGTCCACTACCTGAACGTATAATGTGAGATTTGTATTGAAGTCCACGACCCACACGGTCAATGTGAGGTTGGTGTTGAAGTCCACTACCCAAACGTTTAATGTGAGGTTTGTATTGAAGTCCACAACCCAAACGTGTAATCTGAAGTTTGTGTTGAAGTCCACAACCCAAACGTGTAATCTGAGGTTTGTATTGAAGTCCACTACCCAAACGTGTAATGTGAGGTTTGTATTGAACTCCACTAACCAAACGTTCAATGTGAGGTTTGTATTGAAGTCCACTACCCAAACGTATAATGTGAGGTTTGTATTGAAGTCCACAACCCAAACGTGTAATGTGAGGTTTGTATTGAAGTCCACAACCCAAACGTGTAATGTGAGGTTTGTATTGAAGTCCACTACCCAAACGTTCAATGTGAGGTTTGTATTGAAGTCCACTACCCAAACATGTAACGTGAGGTGTGTATTGAAGTCCACAAATCAGTGTGCAAAAATATCAACTGTTCACAACAGTCTTTGTTGACGATATCGCAATGGATTGATTAGTCTGAAAGTATAAATAAACTAAAACGTTTTCTCGTAGATATACCTGTTATTTACGAATTATTATGCTACAATAACTCAAAGGTCGGCTGTTCTTTTATTGAAAAAATCGACGCCTTTTTCTTTCGGTCACGCCGTGATCATGCCATGTGTTCATTGTTTATGATTAGGGTGTCTCTCTCAGTTTACTGCATAATTTTCGTTTGACAAAACCATCATCTCTAAAGCGTTTATAAGGCTCTCTTACAGGCGGTGCACAAACAATATAAAACCGTAAGTAAAAGGGTTTCTTTTTCACGATATACGTCACAAGTCACGGGGTGTGGAGAACCCTTAATTAATATACATGTATAATAATGATAAATTTGCTTTTTCAAAAAAAATAAAGGAACTCAGAAATTTTCATATCTTGTAATAGGTTATCTACAAAATTACATTGTTAAAATTCAATCTGATACTACACACATGTACTCTGTTGATATTAAAAGGATGCTGGAGTTTCTCATTGACAATATCTATGTAGTCTTTAGAGACCATGTCTTCAAAAAAAAAATGTTGGAATTTCGATGGGCACTATATGTGCTCCTTTATTAGCCGACCTGGGTTTTTTTTTATTCCTATGATTGATGGATTGTTTCCTGCTTTACGTCCAATTCGAGCGTTTTTCACTCATATAGAGACTTCATTATAAACCGGCAAAGGGTTTCAAATTTATACCTATACTCGACAGTCAGGATCATTGAGCAGTGAGGGTTCTTCAGCCTACCGTAACACGGGACCTCGGTTTTTAAGGTATCATCCGAATGACCCGTGACTTTCCTTTCTAATGCCAGGCGCTCGACAGAGGAACAGTCACTACCTGTGTTAACGTCTTAGGTCTAAAGCCGCGCGACGAACAAGAATCGAACCAGGGCCTCCCTATCATGAAGCGAACTCCCTTCCACTGGGCAATCGTGACCGGTCTACAAGTATATTCCAATGAAGCAGAATTTATTCAAATACTTCTATATGAGAAAAAGAAAACACTTACTGTGGCCTTCAACTCGACTTTTAGATACATCGATTACGCTTTATCAATTAACAATGGTTGCTTCCATTCATATGTTGACTCGATATATCCAAGTGAACTCGAAATAAAAGATACCACTAAGTCTACAACACCTGTTTCATATTTGGATATCTTACTGAATATAGACGATAAAGGTCAACTAACAATTAAACTGTATGACAAATGAGATTTCTTCAGCTTTTCTATCGTCAACTTTCCTTATTTATGTAGTACAGTAAAATTCGATTATAGCGAAGTCCTGGGGATCCGTGAATTTAATTCGCTATATCGAATTCGCAATATACAAGTTTTCCTTCAAGTATTACTACCGAATATGTTAGGGAAGCAATTATTACAAAACATACCTTGGATAACTAAGCTTTTATTATGAATTGAATCTCATATACAAATACATACCGAAAATAAAATGAGTTCAATATAGGAAATTTTGTGATCTTTGAAAATTCGTTATAAAAGATGTAAATTTCATTATTTTCAACCTCTACGGACTCAAAATCAGTTTGCTATATCCGTAAATTCATTATATCAGAGTTCGTTATAACCGTAAAATTTTACAAAGAATTGTTAAGAATTTTGGCTGGGATCCCGAAAAACTTCGCTATATCCGTGAATTCGCTATATCCGTGTTCGTACTAAATGATTTTACTGTAATATTCTGCTATCACCTGCATATTGTGTTTATGTCTCCCAGCTTATCCGATACTGAAAGCATTATCTGAATACAATCAATTTTTAAATTAAGACAGGCTTCTGACAGAGAAGTAGATGTTACAGGGATTTCAGCAACCTCGTTTAAAGTCAGCATTTCGTAAATTCTATGGTCGTTATAATGATCTTTTTTAGCAAAAAATACCTACCTGGGTCGTATTTTGACTGCCATATTCCATACCAATTGTTAGACCTTTGTTTTTATACTAAATTGACCATGGAGTATTCCATCTACCTGATCGGTCGAAGTGCTCACGGCGGATGTGATCGGTCGACAGGGGATGCTTACTCTTACTAGTGCCCGATCCCACCTCTGTAATTTTAGGGGTCCGTGTTTATTGCCTTGTTCACAGATTTGTACAATTTGTAGGTTTTTTTAATTTGAGATCGATTTTTTCGTTATCTTCACCCTTTTTATTGTTGCTAAGTTTATGTATTTTGTTGTACAGCTGTCCTACAAAGAAGGCATAGATGTACAATTTTTCTATTTGACACAAGATTTAAGTTTATACGATAGCATCGGAAGGACCAATCACCGAATTCACAATGCGAAATTTACCAATTTAGATAGAAACATTGAAAGTTAACAAGTTTGCATTTGAAAGCTTACGTTGCTTTTGATTTCTTTTGTGCATATTTTGAGTAACTTAAGCCTTTTTCTGATAGATGTAATTCTGAAATCGAATCAATAAGACTATTTTTTGGAGGATTTTCTTTCAATGAACATAAATCCTTCTTAACGTCCTGCACCTGCTCTCCGCCATTTTATATCATTTGATGCAATAGATAAAAATTAATCGATGACGCAGTCATACGGTGATCATCATTAATACCGACAGGTCACGTGACGACTTATGAAATTATAAAGTGAGCACTCGCTGTCAGACACATTTCTGCTGTCTAAAACATAAAAGCTTTTTCTTTATTTTATAGAAGAAACAATTTTAAGGATACAAGGTATGTCTTATTATATATTTTCGTTATGTAGCTGGATTGATATGCAATAATCTTTTTTTTTTTCATTTTAATTGCTTTATTGATCTCATTTTCTATACAGATAATGCAATCAAATGGAAAGACCTTGACACGAATTTTGACCAGACCTTTCCAAACCCAAAAATGTTTGATTTTCAGAGTAAACAGAGAGCAGCAAATAGCCCTCCTTCGAGGGAACTCGACACTTACGGTAAGGTAGATACAGGTTTGGTTTAAAATATTTAATCAACGTTGAGTGATTCAATATTTTATCAAAAGTCAGGGTTTTTTTAAGGGGGACCGACCCTCTGATAAGAGAGATAACTTTCCAAGTAAAATATCTTAGTATTTCTCATAGTTTACTTTATCAAAGTTTAATTATCAAGACCTTTGAGCAGTCAATTCGATCAAATGTAACATATGATGGAAACATTACCTTATATTTCCTTTGACTGTACTTTTCAAATTGTTTTATTATGTTTGACAAAAAAACATTTAAATCCAGTTTTAAAACCCTTAAAAATTGAATAAGTTCTATCTTTTTAACGATCATTTTAAAAATGGTTTAATGTATCAAGCACCAAATGTAGAATTTTTATTAGTATTGCATTTTTTTTTTCCAATGAAAAAATATTTATAAGAAAGATAACTCTTGCTAACAGATGTATTCGTTTCTTACAACCACATATAACATTGTGATATTCTGACTTAGGAAATAGCGCTTCATTATGATTTCTAATATGAATTTAGTAGGTATGACACTAAATATTATTTTCATATACACCGCATATTTCTAATTTTATGTTGTGATAATAAATTATTACTCTTCCTAATCTCTGTGTTAAAATTTCTTCATATTATGATCTGACATAAAAATCATTTCTGAAAAAATAAGCAGCGCTTCATACCTCATCCTTTTTTTCATTTGATTTTGATGCTATAGCTCTTGATGAAAATCAATGTTGGGAAGTTTAAAAAAATTTCGTGAAATTTGGAGCAGAGGGTCATTAGTTCTTAAGTGTTATTAAAAAAAACAAGAGAAACTTACTTGTTGAGAATGGATTATATTTTATTTTGACTATCTTTTGACTATATAACCTGAGACGATTCTTGAAAATCCTTCCCTGTAGTGATACATGCAGTTTGATATTCTTTAAAATACCAATGTTTATAAGCAATACAATATATCGTAACAAAATTTTTAGAAGAGTAATTCTTCCTCTGAAATAATATTTATAGTATGTCGCCCTTCAACATGTTTGTATTGACGGGCAAGGTTAGTCTGTGAATTTTGTTGTTAACTTAAAAATTGTGATTATATTGTGTTACAAAGCAATATTTGCAAAATTTAATAAGTTAATTAGGACACAAATAATTAACTTGATAAACTCTTTTGAAAATAATTAAAAAATATTATTGATATATTATGTTATGTAACTAATATTTACTTGTATATGTATGACTTTGACCTTGTTTTATGGAGAGGACTTCTATAAGCAGTGCCTGCTGTCCGATCCTTTTGTGATTATTTATAATAAAATAAAAAAAAATCAAATATAATAATTTTTAATGCTGGAGTGACTATACATATTATTGCCATTGCTAAACAAAAAAAAAATTCTGTGATGTAACATATGAAAATGTGTTGATTGCATCACTGAAATAACACTATGGCAAATCTTGCAATGAATCTAAAACAGAAGCCAAATTTCTGGATATTTTCACCTAGTGGATGAAATAATGCTTTATTGTTTAATTCATTGTATCAAATACGAACTAGTGGAAATATTTTTTGAGGAAATCTAAACCTTTTTTTAATGAAATCGCTTAAAAGTAGGTAAGTGAAGTGGAAAAAAAAAATGTCATACGAAATACATGTATTTATGAAACATTAAGTCTATATCACAATCATTGTACTACTCAAGTATTGTATTTGGATAAAATGAATAAAAAAGGGGGTGTTACGGGAATCTCATTTGGCCTCTTTCCTTTACAGTGCCCATTCAAGGTAAAGGAAAATACCCAAAGTTCAGGTATGGCACCAGATGACAACCTATATAAAACAACAACTGATACACGGGCTACATCAGTCAAACCTCTTGAAAGCATCCCCGGGCCAAAGGGACTCCCCATTGTCGGTACACTCTTTGATTACATGAATAAAGACGGACTCCGATTCACCAAAATGTTTGAGGTTTTGTTTTTGAATCAGAGAATTTTTAAACTACGAAATATATATTAACACTATTTAAACACTATTTTATCTATCTAGTTAATCACATTATTATCTTATTATTATATATTATATAATTGTTATTATTAACTTTTATTATCTGATGTTTCATAATTAGTTTATTATAACGTATAGGCATACAGAAAGAGGGCGCTACAGTTTGGCCCAATTTACAGGGAGGTAATAGCTGGTCAGTCGACAGTTATTGTGAGTGATCCTGCAGAATATAATAAAATCATAAGGACCGAGGGCAGGTATCCGAAGAGAATGGTAATGGAACCTTGGTTTTACTACCGCGACCAGCGAAAAAGGGGACAAGGCCTGGTTAATTCGTAAGCATGTTTTAAACGATGGACAGATGCTTTAAAATATTTGCATGAAATAAAATTGCATGATAGCTTGTCTTCGTAATCTGCTTTAATTTTCTTTTTCATATTTCTGTTGGTCAATATTTTAAAGATTATTTCTGAAAAAATTCTAAACATTGACAAATCATTAGCAAGTATTTTTTAAATAATGCTATTTAAAAATGGCATGCAATAAAACTCAATTAAAAATAATTTTAAAACAATTTTTGACAGAAATGGTGAAGAATGGTATAAACTTCGTGCTGCATCTGCCAAGAAAATGCTGAAGATTAAAGAAGTCCTAGATTTTTGTACAGATATGGATGAAGTGGCCACTGATCTCACAAATCGTCTGGGCAGTCTCAGAAATGAACAAAATGAAGTGATAGGCATCGAGAATGAGATCTTTAAATGGGCCATGGAATGTGAGGAATCCTTGTTTTCGATATTTTTTTTTGTACAATGGTACACTAGGGAGAGTTTTCGTACCTACTTTTATTATAATGTAAAGAGGTGAAGGTAACAAACGGTGATCAATCTTACTAAACGAATCGTGAACAGGTTAAAAGAATGTATCCGTGGAAATTCAAGAAACGGGATCACTTGCTTACGAAGAGTAAGCATCCCCTGTCGAACGGTCAAACCCGCTGTTAGTCCTCTGTATTGATCAGGTAGTAGTAGTCAAAATAGAAAGAAAACAATGACCTTACAATTGGTGGGAAACATGTCAGTCATAATAAGACCAAATGACAGGTAGTAATTCCAGACAAGATCTTTATAACGACCATAGAATTTGCAAAACGCTGACTTTAAACGAGACTGTGGAAAACCCTGTAACATCAACTTATTTTTCAGTAGCTGCCTCTGTTTAAAAATTGATCGTACTCAGAACATGCCATCGAATCAGTTGAGAGACATTTAAACACACCGTATGCAGTTGATTGTTGAACATTGCCTCATAAATAGGGAAAGTTGATAATGGAAACGCTAAAGTCATCCCGTTTGTCATTTAGTTTTATTAGTTGTTAGCCATTAACGTCTATATATGGTCAGTACAATATCCAAATATGAATCAGACATGTCGGACTCGTGGTGTCACAGTAAGAATTTTCTTCTCATGTAAATTTTCTGATTAAATTCTGCTTCATAAGAATATAAAAACAGGTCGCTAATAAAAATGCTGCTTCATAAGAATATAAAAACAGGTCCGCTAATAAAGGAGCACAATTGGTGTCCATCGTAATTCGAACATATTGTTGGAAGACCTGGTCTCCAAAGACTATTTAGATATTATCAATGAGGAACTCCAGCATGTTTTAATATCAAATTCAGAGTACTTGTATGTAGAACCAGAAGGATTTGTAACAAAGTAATTTTGTAAGTGACCAATCAGAAAATAGGAAAATTCCATTTTTCTTTAGGAAGCAGTTGTCTATTATATCAAAAACCTGCTCTTTATCTTGAAGAATGGTTGTATAAAGAGTTGGAAAGTCGTATGTTTTGATGTTATTGGTTTTTGAAAAACGTTTTGTGATTTTAAACTTTCCAAAAGATCTTGAGTTTTTGAGAATCCACATTTGCTTTACAATTTAAGCCTCTCATTCTAGATAATTGTTGTTGTACCTAAGAGATGATGAAATTTTAATAGTTTTTCAGTATAGTTAATTATTTATTTACTCAAATGATGATGGAATTTTTGAGAGCAAGCTTGAATATTACGCAATCATTTTATGATAAAAGGACCATTTCAGGGTGTATAACATGAAAAAAAATAGTTGCTTCAAATAGCCAATTAAACAGTATTCTGTCAAGGACATAGCTGAGCACTTGGGGAAAAAAATTAGCACTAATCTTGTATAGTTAATATTTTACAATAATTTCGATATACCTGAGGTTATAAAGCAGTGTTACTGAAATAAACCTAAAATTGATCTATTTTTCGTTATCCGATTCTGATTTGTATAGAATGGTAAAACATGATTTTTTTTTAAATTTGGCACGAATCTGGTATTAATGTCCAGCAATAAAAGTTAAAATTCTCGGCAATAGGTATAAATAAATTTGTTTTAAGATGTAAATCAAAAGTATTAAGTATTTTGTTCCCAAAATAATGAAATTTTGTATACAAATGCAAAATAATTCCTGAATTTCTGTTATTGAAGTTAAATTCTTAAGAGAGAGAACAATAATTGTCTATTTCATTTTGTTATACATGTATGTCGAAAATGTAAATGATCTTAATTATCTGAATCGCAATTAAAATCGAAAACATTAGGTTCTGCGGTCACTCTTAGGCAAGTTTCAATCGCAATTTGAATCGATCACATTAGGTTCTGCGGTCACTCTTAGGCAAGTTTCAATCGCAATTAGAATCGATTACATTAGGTTCTGCGGTCACTCTTAGGCAAGTTTCAATCGCAATTAGAATCGATTACATTAGGTTCTGTGGTCACTCTTAGGCAAGTTTCAATCGCAATTAGAATCGATTTCATTAGGTTCTGTGGTCACTCTTAGGCAAGTTTCAATCGCAATTAGAATCGATTACATTAGGTTCTGTGGTCACTCTTAGACCAGTTTCAGTTTATTATCATATTTGCATAGTTTGTGTGCTACTTTAAAGAAAAGTGTTACGGAAGTTAATATTATTTTTTCTGCGACATGATATAATTTCATATGTTACAAGATCCCTACATTTTTTTTTCACAACACATGCAAGCTTCCTATACGGAACAACGTATGTATGTTAAGGCTTAGAGTTGAAATCGATCTTTTAAATAATAGATAATAGGATATTACAACGGTAAATCTGTTAGCGACATATGGAATTATTATTTGGTCACGTTTTTGTAGAATGACTGTGCAATGCATACTATAGCAAAAAATAATTGGATATGAAGACTTAAATATATTTTTTTAAAAAAGTCTAACAGAAAAATATCTAGTATATCTTTTACATTCAATTTTTACAGCAATGGGCACGTTCTTATTCAATTCGAGGATTGGTCTGCTAAGCCCAAATCCTCCTCAACAACCAAGGGACTATATAGAGAATCTACAGGGGTTCTTTAGGCTGATGCAGCCTTTAACTTATAACTTTCCACTCTACAAGATTATCCCAACGAAAGAATGGAAACAATTTCAAACGTACGCCGACAATGTGTTTAGGATTGGACGATCTTTTGTAGACAAGGTAACGAATATATAAATTATTTTTATGTCTTCAACTGAAGATACTGAGGATCTCATTTTCTCAAACCTAAAATCATTTTAGATACTTTGTAAATCCACGACAATGACTATCGGTATAAGGGGACGAGGTTTAGACCCAAACTCTCTCTTTCCCAAATCTTACTTGATCTACCCCTGCTATTAATTTCTTCGCTGCAAAAACGACGTTTCTGTGGTCCATATGTCAATTTATTTCTTGTAGTTAGATTCTGTCAGATTATGTCAGCTCCGACGATTGTATTTACTATTAAATCCTATTACAGCAATTAAAGATTTTTTAAGAAAATTGAATTATTCATAGATGGCAGCCACCTAACTGAAAATAGCCAGCAATTTTAAGACATAAACACCTTCCATATTGTCACTTGTATACTTTAAACCAACTTTTATTCGCGTGCGAGAAATATTCGCGAGTTTCGCTATCTGCTTTAACTCGCGAATATTAATTGCCGCGAACCATTTATTTTGCTTTGTATTAGTAGACAATGTTTCCTCTGTCGCGAAAATTAATCGTCGCGGATTGATTTCAAACTGACGAATCGCGAATAAAAATTGACGCGAATAATAGTTGTTTTACAGTAATGCAAATTAATTTTTAATATTTAAAATACGAAACTATCTTTGATCGTGCACTAAAAAGGTGTATTGCACATGAAATGAAACTTTCTAACCTTTTAGATAACAAGTAAGATCCAAGGAAAACCACAAAGGGGAGTGAAATCTTCCTTTGTTCATCATATAAGGAGTCAGGAATCGCTTACTGAAAACGAGGCTCTATCTACAGTTGTGGACCTTCTTGTTGGTGCCACAGAAACGGTGTGTGTATTGTATTCACTTACAGATTGAGGGTGTTCGAATGTAACTCGAAATATATGGTGGGTTAACTTGATGGTTGACTGATCACACGTGTTGTGTGCAGAACATTTTTGTTTAAAACCATTATGCATATGTTTTAGAATTAAGATTCGAAATTATCTTTGATGATTTCAAATTGACAATTTCAATGAAAATGCCAAAGTTTAAAGTCCTAGCAGATTATTAGCAATAATGTACAAAAATAAAACATGATAAACGAAAACAGCATAACATACACAAATCATTGAATTTGTTTACATTTGTACATGATAAAATTTTTTAGACTTCCAATGCCTGTCTTTGGGTACTATATTGCCTGGCTAGACATCCGGATGTTCAAGAGAGATTATACGAGGAGACAAAAAGAGTTTTACCTAATGGCGAAACAATCACTCCGGACAAACTCACTCAACTTCAGTACGTCAAAGCCGTACTCAAGGAGACTTTACGGTAAATAAAATGAGGTATATTATTGAAATATAGTGATAGACTTGGTTTAGTTGTAGTAGCAGAATAACTAGTTTAGCAAGAAGTTGGGAACAGTCATACTCGCTTCGTTATTGATTAAATTCGACAAGAATTTTTTGCTTTTCGTAAATACATTTACTCTGAGCCAATTTTTTATCGATAAAATAACTCTTGTGCTTTATCTCTTACTTCATAATACATACATTGCAATAATACCTTGATGCATCGAATATAATTCTGAAGCGTAAAGGGAATGAATTTAAATTGCAGGACAGCTATTAATTTGTAGTATCTTTTTAAGGTTGTACCCAATTACCTTTTCCACCAGCAGATTCATTGAAAAGGACACTGAAATAGCAGGGTATAATATACCAGATGGTGTAAGACACAAGACAAATGGAAAAATTCGTGATTTGCAATTTTCCAATCAAACTTTTATATTTCTAGTTTCTATTTTATTGTTTGACAAAGCATGTATTTTCAATCTATGATTTTTTTATTCCATCGTTATCAAGTAAGAAAAATGTACTGGTAAAATATCATAAATATGGATAAAACTGATAAAAAAAATAAACAGATTTAAAAAAAAAAAAAAGTTTTTATATTACAGACCCACGTTCAGTGCAACCTGTATGGAATATATCGAGATAGCAAATTCTTTCCAGAACCCAAAGTATTCAAACCAGAACGCTGGTTGAAGGAAACTCAAATGGACAAAGAAGTGAAGGCTCTTTCAAATCTTGTCTGGGGTCATGGAGCACGCATGTGTATAGGTATGTTTTCTTTCCTTTAAAATGTGCATGCGATATCTTTCATTTTCATTGTCAATTTCTCTTCAATTTCAGGTCGTCGTTTGGCAGAGCAAGAAATGCATATACTGATGACCAAGGTAATTTTCTTTCTAGATGGTAATGTAGCATGTAAGTAAACTATTGGTTGCATGCAGGATTCAGCTTACAAATAATTGAATTAATTAAAGAATTTTTTACTTTAATCAAATTGTGTATCTATATCTATATCTAGATATACACTATATATCTAGTATATCATAAATGTATTGAATAAAGTAAACTTTTCTTGCAGATTATACAAAACTTTCGTCTAGAGTACAATCATGAGCCAGTTGGAGCTATCGTTAGAACAGTTATGACGCCTGATCGTCCTTTGCGTATCTCCTTCATTCCAAGGAGCAAAAAGACAGTTGAAAATCCAGAGTTTTCTGTGACGATTCCCTCATCTTCTACAAATTCTGCTGCCTTGGCTGCACAGATTTCATAACTTTGTTTGGACAACTTTTTTATCAGACCACCTTCATGGCACATTCAAAAGTTTAACTGCAAATGAACATGATAATCACATTCATCATTCTATGTTTGCACTGTAATTAGAAAAATGGAGATTAAATTTTAAATTAAAGATCAATTATATCAATGACGTTTTACAAGATGTATAACCTCTACACTGTATAAAGAAAATGCTCCACTCTTATATTCAGTCTTTACACTCTAATCATAATGGTGTTCCACTTCAATTTCAATCAACAACGAATGTTCCATTCCATTATTGAACTTTAACGATATAAGCAGAATATAAGGAATGGTTCATTCCTATTTTCAACATTTAAAATGTAAACAATCAAAAATAGTCCACGTCAATATTTAACATTTACAATGTAAATTCAAGCTTTACATTGAAATCAGAACAAGGAATGGTCGACGCCAATATTCAAGCTTTAATTTACCATGTAAACAGAACAAAGAATGGTCCTCGACAATATTCAGCATTTACGAAACAGAACAACGAATATCCATAATGAAAAAGTTGAAGATAACGAAAAATGATCGATTTCAAAAAAAAATCTACAAACAATTCAAACTTGTGAATAGGGCATTAAACAGGTGGGATCAGGTGCCTAGGAGGAGTAAGCATCCCCCCAGTCGACTTGTCACACCCACCATGAGCCCTGTGTATTGATCAGGTAGACGGAATATTCCGTCGTCAAACTTAGTATATGAACTAAAACGTAACAATTGGTATGAAACACGTCAGTCAGAATACGGCCTAATGGTAGGTTATATTTGCTAATAAGGTAATCATAACGGCCATAGAATTTACGAAATGCTGGCTTTAAACTAGGTTGTTGAAATCCCTGTAACGTCAACATATCTGTCAGTAGCCTGCCTCGGTTTAAAACTTTATCGTAATCGGAGAAGCTTGCTCTAAAGTATAGAATAAGACGGGAGACATAAACACAATATGCAAGTGATAGCGGAATATTATTATGAATAAGGAAAGTTGACGATGAAAAAGCTGAAATCATCTCGTTTGTTTTTGAATTTAGTTGTTAGATGACCCTTATCGTTTATAGTCAGTAAAACTCCAAATATGAAACAGACGTGGCAGACCCTGTGGTATCTTTTATTTTGAGTTTACAGCCTAGATATATTGTGTAGACATATGAATGGAAGTAACTATTGTTAAATGATAAATTGAAAGCCACAGGAAGTGCTTTCTTCTTCCCATGTAGAAGTTTTTGAATAAACAAAACAATGAATGTTCTGCTCAAATATTTACGCTTTGCAGCTACGTTAAGGCAGAGACATATAATAGAGGGACCGCTGAGTCATTCGGGACGTTTCTTGACTTTTCACTTTACGTTGGGTACTTTAATTCCGAATGGAAAATGATGTTCCGATTTTCGTAGCGCCCTCACCGGAAGGCATAGAAACTATAAACAGTACGGCGTTTCATCATAGAATGGGTAGTAAACATCGCTACAACTCCAATTTTAAGCAAAATTTACTCGTGGCATTAATCGTAGGGGGATGAGTTACTTTCGTTTTCATGACGACAAAGAATTGAGAACAAATTTATCTACAGTAAATAGATGGAATCGATCTTCTAACCCCGACTCGAGTTGCATTTGTTCATGATGGCTCGTCTTCTTTACAACCTCTAGTCTACACTAAGAAATACACTGTAACATGTATTTTATAGTGTAGGATAAGACCTTTTTTGACGAGGCCATTTGTTTGCCATGTCGGTTTTGCACTGGCATGCATTATTTTATTTAGTGGTTACCTACATGTACGTAGGTGCTAGATTTCATGCAGCTAGGTTGGTGTATTTCCCGTATTTATATATATATATATATATATATATATATATATATATATATATATATATATATATATATATATATATATATATATATATATCGTTATATAAATATATCTGTATACATTCATTAAAATTAAAATAAAAAATTGCTGAAATTAACCTTTTTTAAAAATATCATATTGCGGTATATAAAGTATATTATTTTATTTTTGTTTTCCTATAACATATCTAAAAACACAAAATACACCATCCTGAAACCAAGCATAGATTGTGACTTGTAGTCTAATCAAGCAACTCATACATTTTATCATTTACTGCATTTTTGAAACATTGTTACAAGTGCCATTTTGCAAAACAAAGTCAATTGAAAATATATATATATATATATATATATATATATATATATATATATATATATATATATATATATATATATATATATATATATATATATATATATATACTTGAAAAAGTAGGTGTTCAAAAAAGACAAAATATGAATTGGTTGACTTAAAGTTAGTTTTATTGTCACACATTTAGGCCTTGCAGTAAATTCCAGTTTATACGCATCACAATGAAATTTGAAATGTACATCTCATATATATGCTTTTTTTTACTCAGAATTTACAGTCCAAGGAGTGGAAAAATATTCAATCATTAAATTCTCGGAAGTCAAAAAAAAAACCTTTACAAATGTCCTGGAGTGAGAGATAGCTCAGATTTTACCATCAAAAGTTAAGGATATCATTAATTCCGTTGCAGTATTGTTGAAAAACCACGCAACAGTAGTGCGATACAAGCCAATGTTTGTTTCAGTGGCGTTTCGAGTTTGGCCATGTTGGATGCAGCAGCATGGTACAATTTTAAGCTTTGCAGCTTACTAAACTACTATTCGTAGCCTTATTCATCCTAAGATCTCACTTAAAACACCCTTCTAAAGCAGGTCAAGGTCTTTTGGGAAGACAACAGGAAACTTCAGAATCTTGTAGAATCAATCAGTAGAGGTACCATAATATCTGAAAATATGAAAATGCAAAATCAATGAATAAAAGTATTTAATAGCTCAATGAGATATACTTGTAAAACCTGAGTTAGGGCAATTGTCCATCATAAATATGTATATTTAAAACACACACACACACACACTACAAAAGCAGTCTTTAAAAAACATTCTCCCCCTAAATCAAGGGCACCGCACGGCGGAGCATCCCCTCACAAAGAGCATAATTATCTTGAGACAGCATTCGACATCGATCCTGATGCAAATTTAGATGTTAACAGTTACATGTAGCAGGTTGATACATTTTTTTAAATCATTGTGACATAATAGAAAGAAAATTGTCACTCACTTAATAGATTTATGGTGGTGGGAATAAAGTCCCACATTAAAATAAGCATTTTGCATTTCCACTGCTGGCAAGCTGTATCTGTTGCTGAGGAAAGTGATTTCATACCTGGAGATTACATGAAGAACCAATTTTCATAAAATTGAATAATGAGTACATGTTTACATGATGTAAAAAATTAACATGCTGATTATTCATTCTTGGATATACAAAAATTCAATCACATGACAGACTACATAAAACCATTCAACATTTGTGATAAAATAATAAATCCCATGACTATCATCAGGTCTTATGTTGAGAAACTCTCAGGCCCCATAGGTGGGAAGGAATTTCAGTTTTTGGGACACAACCTATTTTAGAAATTTTGGTTGAGCCAAAAAAAGTTTGTCTGACTTTAATTTAATATTTTTTTTTAGGTGACACATTAAAGTAATTGTAGTTTCTGATGTTTAGGCTTTGTATACACTCTGACATGTAACATGTAGTATTGGGGGGGGGGGGGGGAGGGGCTTTCCCCTTTTCCAAACATACCCTTTTACACAACCTTTTACTGTTAAAAAAATATCCACTGAAAGCTCCCCCCTTCTCCATGAAATAGGATTTTCGAGTTCTGACAATTTAATCTTTTTCTTTTTTTTTTTTTTTTGCTTGTCCAAGATTTTCAGATATAACCCCCCCCCCCCCCCCCCCAATTAAAAAATGATACTTGACTACGTGCCTATATACTGGCAAAATTATTTTCCTCTTGCTCACCGGTTCTTACGGGCCTGAGTCTACAATTATCATGATGATATATAACAAGGGAACAACTTTTATACAAGACAAAATTTTAACTCTTGAAAATTATTGTATCGATGTGACTATGACTTACTGACGTGTCAACATCTGATGATCTAAAGTTCTACGGGTTTTTTTTTAATTCTCGTTATAGCTGGAAAAATACATCTAAGACATTACCTTATGTAAATAGTAATTGCCATACAGGCTATATATAATAAAATATAGAATATATTCGCAATATTTACCACAAAGGCTGTGAAGACAACACAGCAGCTGTTATGACAGGAAGTCTTTCTATGCCTCCCGGTGGGGGCGCTGCGAAAACAGGAAGATAATTTGGCGCGAAAATGAGTCAGCGGTCCCTCTATTATATGTCTCTGGTTAAGGATTCCCAGAGAATATTGCAGTGTACTCTGTGCCTTCACTTCTCAGAACTACAAATATATGATGTCATAATTGAAAATGACGCCAAGTCACTGCAAACTTGAGCTGCTATGATGGGGAGAGTGTCAACTTTACACCTTATTTCAATCTGTATAAATAAAGTGTCAGGAAGGTAGTGTAAAATAAACGTGTTTTAATATTTTTTTTAAAAAAATCTTATATATCCGAATAGTTTAGGTAACTTTGCTTTATAGCTCTGGTTTAAAAGTCAGCGTGTTCAAAAAATATACGAAAATATACGTTTGACATTTACCCTTTTTTATACCCTTGGATAGAGGTAGAATTCATAAAATGCGTATAAAAGAGCCTGGCGCAGGTGATTAATGAGGATTTATTTGAAATATTTTGTGGAAATCTTTCAGACGAGTTCCCCCTCTAACTTAATCTTGCTTGGGAAAAATTTGTGATGGCTTTGTTTTTAATACAGATCACTGACGATATTGAGTGCAAAATACCCTCTAATTTGTGGGTAAGTTGAATTTATTGTGAAATATTTTGTACCAGAGTTATAATGTAACTTTTCCCAAGCACATTTCGGGTTCATAAGGATGCGACGAGTTTATTTATGTGACAAAAAGTTAATAATAATTGTGTTAATCACCTGCGCCGAAGCGATTTATTT